CGCACTGGATAGTGCGCCGCTTGGGAAGCGCGGCGGCGCTCCCGCCCGAGGGTTCGGATCCCACATGCAGACCGGTTCCTGCTCACTGGCTGAGCGAGGCGCGGGAGCAACACCGAGGGTTGCAATCCCGTTGCCGGTCCCCGGTCTGGTACGGGGGCAACACTGAGGGTTGCGATCCGTTGCCGGACACGGAAAAAGACAAAAAAAAAAAAAAAAAAACTACAATGATATACCATTACACACCCACCAGAATGGCTAAAAGATAGATGATCAAGTACTGACAAGGAGATGGAACAACCAGAGCATTCATGCGCTGCTGGTGGAAGTGTAAATTGGTAAAACTACTTTGAAAAATTGTTTGAATGAATCTAAAGCTCAACATAGGAACCTATGACCCTGCAATTCCACTCCTAGATACAGATCCAACAGAAATGCATATCTATGTGTACCAAAAGACATGAAGGTGAACGTTTGCAGCAGCACTATTTGTAATAGCCCCAAATTGGAAACTGCCTACGTGTCCATCATCAGTGATAAATAAATCAGGTACATTCTCACAGTGGTATATGCCACAACAATGAGAATGAACAGACTACATGCAACAATATGGAAGACTCTCACAAATATCAAGCTGAGTAAAGGAAGTCAAAAACAAAAGAGTACAACGTGGACGATTCACTTCATGAAAGTCAAGAGCAAACAAAATCTAGGGTATCTGAAGTCAGGTAGATATGTAGTTCCTGGAAGAGATCAGGAGAGGGCTTCCAGAAGGCTGACAATCGTCAGCTTTTTGATCTCGGTGCAAGTTTATATGAGGATATAACTTTTAATTCTATTTTTCCATGAACTTTTTGAAGTATTCTAATATGCTTATAAGTTCAGTTTTTAAAAATCACTGAGTTCCACATTTATGATTTGTGCACTTTTCTGTATGCACATCATACTTCAATAAAATGTTAAACAACAACAACAAAAAACAACTGAGCACCAAGCATGAGCCAGAAACCAGTATGAGTTACACCAAAAAAGGCGATACAGTTCCCTACTTGTAAGGAAAGCAGCAGCTTAATCAAATGGTTAAGACCAGCCCCAAGGTCAAAAGACTTCAAAGATCCCATGAGTCCAGCTGTGCCACTTATTTCCAGCTCTATGACTTTGGGAAAGTTCCTTAACCTCTCTAAGCCTTGATTTCCTTGCCTTACCGAGGAAAGGGGAAGGATGTTTAATTCATATGAGAAATGCCTAGAAACACTACCTGGCCCACAGCTGATGCTCATTAAATGTTAGTTTCTTCCAAGCAAGAGAAAGAATCATATCCCAATCAGTCCACTGGATTGGACTTCTATTTTCTCTTAATGGCCACTTGGCCAACTTCAAGGGTCCCAAATCATCACCAGCATGAAGCAGAAAAGAGGAGAAAGAGATGGTAAGTTAAGAGGAAAAGCATTATTTTAGAATTAACGTTTCTTCAAAACACAAATCCATTTGGTCCTTGGTTCCCCCAAATCACAACTACAACTTCAACTTACCACTCAACCCCTGCAGCCAGCTCAAGGCCAGGTGTTGGCAACCCAGCCCACCCCAACCTGTTCTCATTCAATAGGAGCTAACAGGGGGAAAGCCAGAAGCAGAGCAGCTCAGAATGAAGACATGGGGAGCCAGGACACCACCACCAGCAGAAACTGCCTGTGATTCCCAGGCCCACCTCTGCACCTACCCGCCCAGAACTCTCCCAAATCTTCCTTACTCAAGGCATAGCTTGGGATGAGCACAACATCCTGACCCACTCTAACAACCAGGTCAAAAACACTAGCTCTGGTGGCAAGTGACTGATGCTCCTTCTCAACTCAAAGGCTTGGTACATGGTATTCCCTCTGCTTGAACTACCCTTTAATCCCTCTTCCCTTGCTTACAGGTAACTTTTTCCAGGAAGTCTTCCTTGGTTCCCCCAACTATTGGCTGCATGCCCTTCTTCCAGGATCCCACAGCACCCAGGGCATCCCTAGGTGATCCCAGCACCTCTCCTGCCATGTTACATCACATCTTTACTTGCCTGTCTCACTCAACTCTGAGCTCCATGAGAGCAGAGGCCTGTTGTCCACCCCTGGTGTAGTACCTGGCACGAGAAATCTGTTCAATAAACATTTGCTGAACTGATAGAACTGAACTTTGAGAAGTGAGAAGCTCTGGGCTGGGCCAGGCTTGGTGGCCATGAGTGTCACATGACCATGGCCAACACAGCCAGAGAGGGTGGGACTCACTGCAATGTTGATCTTGATGGTCTGGCCCTCCTTGAAGCCTAGATCCAATTTGGGGCCTTGGTCTGGATTCTGGGCTTGTTTTGCAAATTCACACTGCTGTTTCACCCACCTGGGGAGAGAACAGGAAGGAAACGGTGAGGGAGGAAGAGAACGCACTCACACACTTCACTATCACCTGCGGAGGCTTGTACTGAGGTAGGGTGGTAGAAAGAGTGCGGGCTTAGTAAGGCCTGAATTCAAACCCTGGCTCTGACACGTAACTAGCTGCATGCACATCAGTTTCATCATCAGCACAATGGGCTGACAATGCTGTACATCTTCAAAATGGCTATGAAAGTCCAATAACATCACTTATGTAAAGGGTCCGCCCACTGGTTTCTAGGAAATGTGAGAGCCCGGGCCCTTCCTCCCTAGCATTTGGTGTGAGAATTAAGGCATGGTCCCTGCACAACGCCAAACACTCATAAGGTAGGTGAGGAGACAAGACAGATGCTCAGAAGGAGAGGCCAACACAAAGATCCCCTACTACCCTCCATACAACACTACCCAGCAACCACCCGGGACACAGGCATCAGGTCAGGGAAAAGCCAGAGGTGCCCACGTGAGTGTCTGGACACTGTCCACACCATCCAAGCACCACTTATTACACCAAGAAGAGCAGGCCCAGAAAGGCCAAAGAGACTGACGTGGACCCTGGCTGCTTAGGGGACTGGTAAGGGAAGAGATGGGACACTTCAAAGTCTGTGCCAGCTGACTGGAATGATAGAGAAGGACCTCAGGAAAAGAAGAAAATGTCACAGCAGAGATGAGGCCTGGCAGAGAGGAGAGAGGCGGCCTGCCCTGAAGAAGAACTGAGTTTTCCTGAGGCTCTGCGGCAGACAAGTCACACACAGCCATTTGGGTATCCTAACGTGAGAAATCACTCTGTCCAGGTAAAGAAGGGAGGAGGCATGAGTACGAGTCTCCCAGAACCACTCACTTGAAATGGTCCTGCAATGCAACGTTGAAGTCAAAGGCATCACCTCGGTCCCCGAAGCCAATTCCAATAAACGCCCGTCGTCCTGGGGGACAATACATGATCAACTCCACTTTCCAGAGGAAGAGAAAACCTTTCTCAAGAGGAGGGAGCCCCAAGACCTGCTCATACCGTTTCCATCTTCGATGCGGATAACAAAGTACCTGCTGGAATCCGTCACGCTCTCCACAGCTGTGCCAGGAAACTGATCCACGGGTGCCTGAGCAAAGAGCTCCCCTGAAAAGACAAGCTGGAGTGAGCCTTGAGCCCCCTCACAGCCTGATGTTTTTATCAGACCACTGGAGCTTTTCCTGCAAGGCATCTCCGGCTGGCTGAGGCAGATGGGCAGACCTTACTCTGCAATTCAAATCAAGTCCATTTTTGCTGAAGGGAAGACACAGGAATATAACTTTATTATTATTTTTTTTTAAAAGATGACCGGTAAGGGGATCTTAACTCTTGACTTGGTGTTGTCAGCACCACGCTCACCCAGTGAGCTAGCCGGCCATCCCTATATGGGATCTGAACCCACGGCCTTGGTGTTATCAGCACCACACTCTACTGAGTGAGCCATGGGCAGGCCCCAGGAATATAACTTTAAAAAGATTTAAGTCAGGAGCTGGCTGGTTAGACTATATGGGATCTGAACCCACGGCCTTGGTGTTATCAGCACCACACTCTACTGAGTGAGCCACGGGCAGGCCCCAGGAATATAACTTTAAAAAGATTTAAGTCAGGAGCTGGCTGGTTAGATCAGATGGTTAGAGCACGGTGTTCTAACACCAAAGTCAAGGGTTTAGATCACCATGCTTTAACCAGCTGAGCTAACAACCAGCCCAATTTATTTACTTAATTGCCAAATGTTTCAAAATCAGAGTACATGTAAAATAAGCCAGATTTTTGGCTTCTCTTAAAATTAAAATCTGTACCAATGCTGGGCCTCCATTCCCACATGAGAACAATGAGCTGGAACTGCAACCCACCCATCCACCTGCTCCACCCACTTACATTACCCGCCTGAGCCCTGAGGGCCCTGGAGCAAGTGAGCCCTGATCTAGGTGTATCACACCTTCAGAAAATGCCTAGTGCCTGAAGTGGGACTCTAAGAGGGGCCAATGGGCCCTATGGCAAGAAGGTAGGTTTTTTTCACTCACAGAAGACTCCAAAGCAGGCTGATTTAATTCAATCTCAGAGACAGGGCAAAAGAGTGACTGGATTTAAAAGGAGCCCCTGTGAAATGCATCCCCTTATCAACTATACGTCTCCATAGTCACAGGGCAACACATAACTTCTGTAAGCATTTATGGCTGGCAGCATTTTCACACATGCTGATCTCTGCTGGTGCTTTCAATATTCAACTGAATATTCTGTACTGAGTTCTGAGGTTTAGGCTCAAGTGACCTGCTCATTACCTCATGAGAGAGATGAACATGACCCTCTGGGGATGACACTGAGCTAAAAGCATCTTGGGGTGGGCCCTGCAGGTGAAACTCAGCCCTAGACAATGGCTGTTACATTAGGCAATCACATTAAAGTCATAGTTCCCAAGTTCCCCAGAGAACAAGAGGTGTTGCCATTCCCTCGTGACACCACCTGGGATGCCACAGAAATTCCCATGGTCAGAATTCTCTGCCCTAGTCACAGCAACTGCCTCTTCAAACTCCTCTACAGCCAAATACTCATCTTGTCAATCCACGTTCTAGAATAAATCAATGCTCTGGGTCATCTTGCAGTTCACAAAGCAATTGGATAAATATCTGCTCACTTCCTATTTCCAACAACCTTGTGAAAGCAGAAACTAATGTGATTCCCATTTCAACAAAAAGGAGGTCAAGGCTCCAGTAGTCATGTGGCTCGCCCAAGGTCCAACAGCTCAGACAGAAGTGGCACAGTTCCGAGAAGAGGCAGCCAGTTCTGCCTCTAAATCTTTGCACTTTGTTCTGCTCCACAAAGGAAAATCTCTACATATTAGAAAAAGTAAATGACTGAATGCTGTGGTCCCTGACCGAGCAGGCACTGTGCCCAATCCCCACTCAGGGTCTCAGGCTGGGGCGATTCCAGGAGTGTTGCCCTCCACAGCTCACCCAAGGCCCTGGTGGCCCAAGACTTCCAGAGAAGTTTCCCCAAAGGTGATATCTGCCAGCTGACCCCAACACAGCCCAGCTTGGCTTGTCCTCTCACCACAGAAAGCGCTGAGCAGGACAGTTTCCAGCTCCTTCAATTATTGGGCGTGGTCAGCTCTGGGGAGTTACCATTTAGTTGCTAAACAGAATTCCTGAGTAAGAACCAGAGCTCAGTGGCAGAGGGGCTGTACATGTTCGCCCAGTCTGTGTTCAAGGCAAGTTCCAGGGCTTCCAACTTCCTTCTTAGGACCAACCTGCAGGTCTCTTCTTGGCTTCCAAAATTAGTATTTTTCTAAGGACCCCCAAAAGGAACAAGCACTTGACAAGAAACACTCCCTTTTATACCTGGTGACAGTGATTTCCACAAATAATGTGGGGGAATAGAGGTAGCTTAAAGGTACATTTGAGTCTCTGACTTCCAGGACAGGTTCCCATGACCCCCGGGGTGGCCTGGCGGGTCCTGTGCTGTCTCCCTCCTCATAAAGTGGTAGGTGTGGCACCTCAGCCCAATGTGGCCTCCCTTTCCTTTACCTGAGGTCCTGTCCTCCAGCTTGATGTAAGCCACCTGCCCTTTTGCAGTGATCCGCAGCCGGCCACTCCATGAAGGCTGGTCCAGCTGCCACTCCGCGGCCCTAAGGGGACAAAAACCACTGAGACTTTGCCATAGGCTACTACTCCATTACTCCAGTGCTGGGAAGGAGAATGGGAAGGGCTGCTTGTTATAAACCAGTGGTTGGCAAACTTTTTCTGTAAAGGGACAGACAGGAAATACTTTTGGCTTTGCAGGCCACACTGTCTCTGTCCCAGGTAGGCAACTCTGCTGTTATAGTGCAAAAGCAGTCATTCAGACAGTGCATGCCTATGTTGGTGTTTTAAGTATTTAACCAAATGTTTTCTACTGAGCGTGGTGATTGTATTTCAATAAAACTGTACAGACACTCAAATCTGAAATTCATATAATTTTCACTTTATAAAATATTCTTTAAAATTTAGGGGCTTGCCAGTTAGCTCAGTTGGTTAGAGCACATTACTGGTAACACCAACGTCAAGGGTTCAGATCCCCATACTGGCCAGATGCCAATAAATAAATAAATAAAAATTTCCCCAACTATTAAAAATGTAAAAACCATTATTAGCTTTTTGGCAACACAAAAACACAATGAGCTGTAGCATTCTAGACTACAGAGACCTTCGCAGTGGGACTTCCTTCCAGTTTCCTTTCGATAGAGGAAGCAGCTATAAGGCCCGTTGTTTCCACTGTAGACATTGTTAGGCTGTGTTGGTCAGAGCGACCATTTGGGACCTCTAAGACCATCTTGGAGGAAAAGTACAGGGGCTGGCCGATTAGCTCAACTGGTTAGAGCATGGTCTTATGACACCACGGTGAAGGACTCAGATCCCCTTACCAGCTGGTCGCACAAAAAGAAAGTACAAAAGGAGAGCAATCAGCAGAAAGAGAAAAGGAGAGCAACAGTACGTGTGAGAAAAGTAAAAGAGTGTTTAGGAAATATATTCTCAAAGGTATCCTATGCAGAAAGAAACCCAGAAAACCATGAAACTACAACCAAGGCCTCTTTTAAAGCAATAACTTCAAATTTTAGTTCTAAGAAGAAGCTCAGCAAAATACCCAAAAAGAAATATCTGTGGGTATTTCCAGGAGGCTTTTCTTGGCAATTCCTATGCATATGCCAGCTGTCAAGAAACCTGGATGAAGGTTGTTTTGAGCGCCACGCATTTGCAGACTCTCACTTCACATGTCAGCACTCAGTTTCAGTTCCTCTTACCAGGCCTCAGATGCAGGCTAAGCAGAGCTCTGAGATTAATGTGCAAGGGTTGGCACTTTCCTCTATACCAAACCAGCCAGCCCTGACACATGGTAAACTCATGCTCTGCGGGGGCAACGAAGAACCAAACCCATCCTAGTGAAGACCCAACGGGATCGGGGTAGATGACCATCCCTGGTTTGGTGGTCCATCTGCAGTCTCATGATACCTTGCAAATGTTTTTCTGTTATTATTGCTGGTTTCACACTATTTTAAAATTGTGTCATGGATGCCATAAATGTTCAATAAAAATATCTGTTCACTAGAAAATCAGCTATGAGCCCGTGTTAATACTATTGGAAAATAACAACAGGACAGATATGCGAACACTCCATCATTCCTGTGGTGCTCGCCAATCCTGTATTTCCACGTAATGTGAACAAACACTGCCTGCAATAGCCATCCCTCCCCGCAAATAGCAGCACCCCCCACCACCTCAGTGGCACAAAGTAGCCATAGGCTAGATTGTCTGTATCAGATGTTACCTTTTTTTCTTTTAATACTTCTCGTATTGTCTTGATAGATGATGCATATGCCGAGAAATAAAATAGTACAAAAGGGTGTACAGTGAAAGGAAGTCTCCTTCCAGCTCCAGTTTCCCTCCCCTAGGAGGAAAACCCAGTTTCCTGTGTTTCCTTCCAGACATTCTCTACATATTTACAAGCATATGTTTGTTTACTCGGGTCAGGTGAACATTATGCGAGAGAAGGGCGATGGGTTCCTCCCAATTGCTACAAGGTGTGATCAAGGGTGAAATTCGTGAAAAGGAAGCTGGGTGGGGAGAGGTCCCTGAGATGCGGCCATTAGCTTAAAGCTCCCCGGGATGGGTCCTTTTAATCGGTTCTGGGCTCCCTGCCCTCCTCTCGGGGATTTCCGACCGTGATAGGCCCCTTCCGCCTTAAGGCTTTTCAAGAAACCCTTCAAGGCCACCGGTTAGCGCTGAAATGAAAGTCTGGGACCCCCCGTCCCCGACCAAGTTTAGGGGGGCCGGCAGCCTACCGGGGTCCCCAAGAACTAGATACGGCTGGAACGCCTCCCCTGCCGCCAGGAGTCCGATGTGTCTCACTGAAGACGGTCGCAACTTTGGGCCCCCCTCCCGGCTCTGACCTCGAACTGGAAGAAGCCTCAGCGTTCCCTTCCGCTCGCCCCTAAACTGGCCAAGGCGGTCCTCGGCTCCCGCAGCGGGTGTGTCGTCGGGGAGGCGGGGAAGGGGTTCAGTCAGGGGCTAGCCTGGCCCGGCGGCAGGGGGTCACCTGTAGCCACGGTTGGTGGCCCGCGGCGGGATACGGTAGACGTGTACCTCCGGCTTGACACAGAGGACCGACTCGTATCCACCCTCCTCCATCTCGACGGCTAGAGCCCACCGGACTTCCGGCTGCTTCCCCGCCGTGAGGCCGGAAGCGCCGCGACTCTATGACCAGCTCCGGCTAGAGCGGCAGCTCGCGGGCCTCCGAACCTTCGCGCTCGCGCTCCCTCTTCTGAAATCTCTGGATCCAGACACGCGGCGGAAGGACCCCAGGCGCTAGTTTGACCGGGGTCCTCTGGCGATATGCCCCTTCCCACCAGTCACCCTCGGTCGCAAAGAAAGCTTCAATACAGGCCTCACGGTAATCCGGGGTCTGGTTGTGGGTCACCCCCACGGCTTCATCTCAATGCTCGGGGCCAGTTGGCTGAGATGCAAGGCTGTAGCCCACCCTCCAGCACCTCTCTTCTCCTCGGCCTGTGCGTCCTTCCTTCTCCCGACTCTGGGAGGCTCAGCTGAGGCTTCTCCTCCTAGAGAAATCCGCACCTGACCCCCAAGCTAAGTGGAATGCCCTTACCGACCACCTTTCATGCTGCTGCTCATCGTAACTCACGTATGTGCCCAGGGCCCCGTGTGGTCTAGCTCAACAAGGAGTTGTATTCAACGAAGTAAAGTTTACTACATAAGTCATCTAAAAATAACTCCAGTCTTAACTTGGATTTCTCAAAGAATGTTCTAGGGGATATAATGTCTAACCATCGTCAAATTCTCAAAAATCTCTTCTCCCTTACTATTCTCTCATTCATTCCAAACTTTCTCTCCGCCCTCCCCCCCGCCCCCCCAAGCAGTATGAAGACAGCCAGCCCATATGACTGTTTGGGGCCTCACCATGCAGCTGCCACAGGTGGGAAACCTTCCTTCTCATGGGCCATAAAGGGAATTGTCACTCCATGCAAAGGGGCAGCCAGGTCTTACAATGTGTTCGGAGCACTTTCGGTTCTGTTCAGTCTAACAAAGACAGGCATTGAGCACCTACCATATGCCAGGTGCTAGGTCCTGGGGCCACTGAGATGAGGGCGACCCAGCTCCTGCCTTCATGGCGCTCACTGACCAGAGGATACAGTGAGAAAACCAGTCATTTGCAATGCAGAGTGAAAGGTGCTATGACGGAAGCAAACTCACCGAAGCAAACTCACCGGGGCTGTGGGAGCAGAGAGAAGAGACCCCACTCAGTCTGGGGGCATCAGGGTAGGCTCTCTGGGAGAGGTTACTTGGAAACAATAACCCCTGTGAGGTAGGCAGGATTGTTGTCCTCATTGTGTAATAGGCGCCACAGAAGCAGTGACAAGTCTGGGGAAATGACATTATCCTATAGTTACAGGAGGTCAGACAGTCCCTTGTCTTATTCTCAAACCCTAACTACATGGCTAGACATTCCTGAAATGCATTCCTAAGCTTCCAGCTGGGAATAATTGGACTTACCATCTACTCCCAGTTTAGCTACTTTATACACCAAACAAATTTAATTCAAATCAACAGGCAAACTATAGGCTCAGACAGAGCCCATCCTGTGTGTGAGGAGGTGAGCAGGAGTGTAAAACCTCGCTGTGATTCATCCAGCTGCTTTCTGGTAGGTCTAGGGCCAAGCTGGGGGTTTGATGTGAGCAAGCTTTCCTTGGCAGCCTCCAGAAATATATATTACCAGTCACTTATTTTTTTCTGCTGTATTTTCCTGCCATCATAGACGTTTGTAAAAGAAATCCCTTCATTTCTCAAATGAGGAAAACACCTATGGTAGGGCACTCAATGCCGAAACAATCTTGAAAGAATGAAGTTGGAGGACTCACACTTCCCAACTTCAAAACTTACTACAAAGCTAAAGTAATTAAGACAGTGTCGTACAGGATAAGAATAGACATATAGATCACAGGGATAGAATTGAGATTCTATAAACAAATCCTCACATTTATAGTTAGTTGACTTTCCATAAGCATGCCAAGACAATTCAATGGAGAAACAATAGTCTTTTTAACAAATGGTGCTGGGATGAGATAGCCACATGCAAAAGAATGAAGTTGGATCCCTACATCACACCATATACAAGAAGTAACTCAAAATGGATCATAGGCATAAATGTAAGAGCTAAAACTGTACAACTCTTAGAAGAAAACATAGGCATAAATCTTCATGACCTTAGGCCAGCCTTTGGCTCACTCGGGAGAGTGCGGTGCTGATAACACCAAGGCCACGGGTTCGGATCCCATATAGAGACGGCCGGTTATCTCACTGGGTGAGCGTGGTGCTGACAACACCAAGTCAAGGGTGAAGATCCCCTTACCGGTCATCTTTTTTTAAAAAAAAAATCTTCATGACCTTGGATTTACATTATAATAAGGAGAATCTAATGGATTCTTGAATATGACAGCAAATGCACAAGCAACAAAATGAAAAAAATACATAAATGGGACTTTTAACAAAATTAAAAACTTTTGTGCTTCAAAGAACAAAAAAGTGAAAATACAATCCACATAATGGGAAATTTTTGTTTTGCAAATTATATGTATGATAAAGGACTTGTATCTACAATTTATAAAGAACACTTACCATGCAATAATAAAAAGACAAATAGCCCAATATAAATGGACAAAGGATCTGAATACACATTTTCCCAAAGAAGATATATGGATGGCCAATAAGTACATAAAAAAATGTTCACCGTCATTAGCCATCAGGGAAATGCAGATGAAAATTGTAATGAGGTAACACCTCACACTCATACACACTAGGATGGCATAATAAAAAAGACAGGTAATAATAAGTGTTGGAGAGGATGTGGAAAAGACTGGAACAATTGCTCACTGCTGGTAGGAATGTGAAACAACGTGGCCACTTAAGACAATAGTCCAGCAATTACTCAACAGGCTAAATACAGAGTTACCATATGACCCAGCAATTCCACTGCTAGTTATAAACCCAAGAGAAATAAACATGTATGTTCACACAAAAATTTGTACACAAATGTTCATAGCAGCATTATTCATAATAGCTAAAAAGTGAAAAACAACACAAATGTCTATCGACTGATGAATGGATAAACAAAATGTGGTATATCCATACAATGGAATATTATTCAGCCATGAAAAGGAATGAAATTCTGATATATGCTACAACATGGAGGAACCTTAAAAACATTGTGCTAAGAGAAAGAAGACAGTCACCAAGGGCCCCATATTATATGATTCCATTTATATGAAATGTCCAGAATAGGCACATCTACAGAGACAGAAAGTAGATTATAGAGACAGAAAGATTATAGAGACAGAAAGCAAATTAGTGGTTGCCTAGGGCTGGGGGTGGAATAGAAATAATTGGGGTGATGGTCAAGAGGTGTGAAGTTTCTTTTTAGGGTGATAAATATGTTCTAAAATTGTAGTGATGGTTGTACAACTCTGTGAATATACTAAAAGCCACTTTATATACTTTAAATGGGTGAATTGTATGGTATATGAATTAAATCCCAATAAAGCTGTTAACAAAAAAAAAAGAGTACCAAGGCTTTAAAAGGGGAACATGGTCTATATTTGCCAACCTCTCTCGCAATTCTGACCTTTGATTCCACGCCCCTCCTGCTAAGGTTGGGGCTTCCACTTTTTTGTCTGAATTCTCATAGTTAGCAACTCCAGATGGGGACAAATGGGGGGCCTGATCCCCTCTGGGGCCTCTGCCCCCTTAAAACATCAGCTTGTGGAATACTGGAGCCTGAGAATTCCAAGGTTGAGACTGCACGTTCCGAGGTGGAGACAGGGACAATGGAGGGCGTGTTTGAAGGGTCTGGGGGGAGATTTTCTCTAGATGGGTCATCCATTCCTAGGGCAGGAAAGCTCAGGGGAAGGAGGGATGGTTAAGGGAGCCCTAATGGGAAAGAGGTGGGGCAGAAGGGAGGAACTCCAAGGGAAGAGAGAGGGACTTGGCCACAGCCCTGACTTCTCCATGCCAAATGAGAGCCTGGGTCCTTTGGGAGGCCAGAGCTGCACCTGGGGTGGGAGGTCCTGGGAGCTGAGGTCTTGCTTGCACTGTAGGGGTGCAGGTCTAACTGCAGGCAGGACCTGGACAGTAGGAGGAGGGAGGGGGTATTTGAGTCAGCAGCTATTAGGGGCACCTCCTCTGTGCCCCTGGTAAACTGTGAGAGCCATCAAAACACCCAGTGTATCCCCAAGACCTGACATTCTGCCTAACCCGGTCACATGTTGTTAAACAGTTGTTGACTATGAGTAAATGAATGAACGACTCAATCTTTTTTACAGGCAAGATGATAGGGTGAGATAAGCAGTCTTCGAGTCAGACAGGCCTGGGTTTGAATCCATCCCTCTGCAGACTAGCTGTGTGGTATTGAGCTACTTCGAACCTTGAGTGTTTTTTTTTTTTTAATCTTTAAAACAGGGCTGAACCCACTGAACTCACAGGGCTGTTAAGAGAATACTGTTTGCATACGTGCCCAGCAAAATAGAAGGTTCCTCTATGAACGTTGGCTGGCCTTCCACAATTTAAAGTAGAAGAAACACCAACAAGATCTTCAAGGTCACATGGTCTCACTGGGGCGGAGGGGTAGGATTTACCCCTGGTGACTACTTAACAGCGAAAAGGGGTCTATGACATACGTACCCATAGGAATGGTGTTGATGTGGCCTTAAAGGAATTCAGTGGCTGGAGAAGAGGGCTGAGGAGGTTAGAAGCTTGGAGCAGACGTGGTAGCTTGAAAGATGGGGTGGGGGAGTATTGGAGAGAGAGAGAAATGGGAGGTGGGCATGGAGGTTGGGGTCTGTGGGATTAGGATTGCAGGAGAGTGCCTGGATTAGGACAGAGCTTTTGTGTAGGGGGTAGCAGCACAGCCAAATATGAGGTTGGAATGAAAGAGGCAGAAGCGGAGACACTAAGAATGGCTTCAGGAAGGGGCGTGTCCAGGGCAGGGTTGTAATGCTTTGGTGAACTACAGATTGCCATTGGAGACCTTGGAGTCCCCAAGACAGATTGGCAGTTGTTCCCAATTCCTGTTCCTTAGCCACATCTAAGGACATGGAGTGTTCATCTAGAGCAGCAGCAGCAGCCATGACATTCTCGGGCTCTCTTTAAAATGAACATTAGTATTTTAAAGGCTCTGAGAAGTCCCACAGAAAAGAGCCCATTTCATTTTTGTTTAGCCACACACTTTCCAAACACATTTAGCCTCAGAACCTCATGTAGCATTTCAAGGAGCCAACATCCCAAAGAACACCCCTTAGGAAATGCTACTATAGCAGAAAGTATGGGTTTGGGGACCCAACAGTCTGTGGTTCAAATCCTGCTCTGTGACCAACTAGGTGATGGACTTTAGGCAAGTCTCTTTGCCTTGCAGAGCCTGCTTTTCCTCAGGGTCATTGTGACAATTAGGAAAAATAGGAAGGTAGATTGCATGTGGGTAGCTCTCTGTTTTGCTGCATGCCCCTCCTTGCCAGGCCTGGCCCTGCCCTTCCCCTGAGCCAGGTTCTCTACATTACAGGCTCCACATGGGCTGCTGAAGCAGCAGTTCAGTAGTGGGCTTGGTGGAACCTTGGCTGGACTTCTGTGGAAGTACAGAAGCTGATGCCCCTCACTTGGTACCCAAGCTGACCCTGGCATGATGGACAACAGAAACGCCCAGATGTCCATGGAGGGTAGTACTAAGGCTCTAGAAACCCAGCCAAGTCCTGGCCTGAGGACCACCAGAAAGAGGGCTGGTGTGGAGCCCACCATATCAGGAGTCAGCCAGGTAGGGATCTGCCCCTCATGTTCTGACCCCTCCATCCCAGCTGGCCCCATTCCCTTCCCCCGCCTAGGTTTCCCCCCCAACTGCTCTATCTATCTATCTATCTATCTATCTATCTATCTATCTATCATCTATCTATCTATTTATAGATAGATGTGTCCAGTACAGGGATCCAAACCCTTGACCTTGGTATTATAACACTGTGCTCTAACCAACTGAGCTAACCGGCCAGCCCCCAGCCACTATAATTAAGACCCTCAGTTACAAGTGACACAAAATCCAATTCAAACTGGATTAAGCAGGAATGAGAATACATCAGCTTGGGTACCTGACAAATCAAATCCATGTGTGGACTTCAGATATGGCTGTATCAAGGTGCTAAATGAGTCTCTCTTGGCTCTGCCTTCCTCTGCATTGGATTCATTCTCAGGCAGACTTTCCCTTCAAGATGGCAAGGATTGCCCTGACCACTCCAGGCTTACATGTTCCCATCTTACATCCTCTGGCTTAGCATCCCCAAGAGGAAGGGAGTCTCTTTGCAACAGTTGAAGTAAGTCGCTGGTGTCATTGTCATTAGCCCAGACTGTGGTCCCATGCTCATCCCTGAACCGGTCACCAGGGCAGTGGTGAGTGGCTGAGATCTCTTGGTACAATGGAGACAGAGGTGATAGTTGACTCCAAGGGCAGAATGTAGAAGGGAAATTTCCCACAAAAAGAATGCTGGCTTCTGTAACAGGAAGAGATGCTGGTGAGCAAACCAAGAATTGCCCACTTACTCTACTAGATGCCTTCCATGGCCTCCGGCCCTTCTTGCAGCCTCCAGCTCCCCTTGTAACTTTCATTTCCCTGACGGCTTCTCACAGTTTCCATCCATGCCCCTCCTCAGCCCCCACGCTGTGTCCTAAGCTGCTTTCACATCTCTCGGCCTCTTTCCATCAAATATGCTTCTTTTTGAAAATGCAAAGTAGCATGAACTGAAGAGCACAGAGATGACTCCTCGTCCCATCCAGTTTTCCCCAGTGCCAAAACTGTCACCATAAAAAAATCAGCATTCTCTTGGGTGAAGTACCTCCCTCTCTTGGTAGTCTCTGTTATAAATAGTGGCTTCCCCTGGGGCAGGCAGAGGGCTTGGAGAGGAGGAGTCTTAGAAGGAGGCTGGGGCAAACATTCAGGGCTTCCTTCTCTCACCCATTCATTTTTTCTTTCTTTCTTTTTTTTTTTTAAAGATGACCGGTAAGGGGATCTTAACCCTTGACTTGACTTGGTGGCGTCTGCACCACGCTCAGCCAGTGAGCGAACCAGCCATCCGTATATGGGATCCGAACCCGTGGCCTTGGTGTTATCAGCACCACACTCTCCCGAGTGAGCCACAGGCCGGCCCACCCATTCATTTTTTCAACGAACCCGTGGCCTTGGTGTTATCAGCACCACACTCTCCCGAGTGAGCCACAGGCCGGCCCACCCATTCATTTTTTCAACAGGCATAGTCATGGGGTCCCAGTCCCTCCACTTAACCAACTGTATGACCTTGGGCATGTCATTGAGCCTTATTTGTTTTCTTGTGTGTCGTGTGAGGAGTAACTGGATTAAATCTTGGAAGACACCTGGCACAGGCCCTGCCTCATGGTAGGTGCCTATGAACATTAGCTCGCACCAGATCCCTTACTATAACAATTATTATCAATTAATTAATTGATTCAGGTCATTTGGACTCAGGTGAGTCTTGGAGCTGGGTCTAGCTCACTGGCTCAAGGTTACCTGATTGGAAAGTGATAGACCAAGATGGTGATCAAAACCCAGTTCCAGGGGCTGGCCAGTTAGCTCACTTGGTAGAGTGTGGTGCTGATAACACCAAGGTCAAGTGTTCGGATCCCCCTTAAAAATAAAATAAAATAAAATAAACAACAACCAGTTCCAGAGCCAGAGCTCTGAAGTAGTGGAAGTTATAGAAGACCTCTCTTGGACCCTGTGAAGGTCTTGAAGTCCCCCAGGGTGCTCTCTCAAGCTGTCCTTGGTGAGATTGCCTTGGCTCAGATACTAATCTGAAGTCCAGGTTCTGCCAAAGCCTTTAGTGCTGAGTGACAGCTTCCAGCTGGGCCAGGCCCTGCACCCCATCCTCTCTCTCCCCGCCTCTTGGCTCATCCTCACCTCTCTACATGCCTTCCACAGTGAGGCACAGGATCTCACTGTCCCTGAGGCCAGGAGGATGCCGAGGAAGAGTGGGGAGGATCAGTCCAGACTGGGTACTGAAGGCCAGCCCTTAAGCCAGTGCCATGGGCATCTTCTGTTCTAGGTCATGTTTCCAGATCCTTCAGGAATAGGTAGTGGGAAACAGCCCTCAGCTTCCGGAGGGCTGGAGAAGAGGCCCGGACACAGAGAGGCATCTGAGGAAGGGCCTCCAGAGCTCAAGACTCAGGAGCAGAGATCTCCAGCAAGACCAGGGTGAGCTGGGGACCTTCTCAGAGAGCAGATCCAGGAGAGAACCCCCTGTAACCCACCTGGGGGAGAGAGAATTGAGAACTCCCACACTAAGGCACATCCACCCATCTCTGGCATCCTGTAATTCTCTTTCATTGCACAAATTGCACTAAGTAATTATTTGTGTTAACCTTTTGTCTGAACTCCCCCACTAGACCACAGACTTCTTTTATGTGTCTTGTTCAGCCTCAAATCTCTCATGCCTGGTCCTGTGCCTGACATGTAGTAGATGCTCAATAAACACTTATTCACCGAATTAATAGAAAAATGAACCCAAAAAAGGCTGAGAAGCACACAAAGATTTACATGATTTTGTTATTATTTTCTAAATATTGCATATATGTTTAAACTTTTCTACAGCAAGAATGTATTCCTTTGAAAAGAGAAAATCTGGAGAGAGATAGAGAGAGGCAAAGTGAAAGACTTGGGAAACAGGAAAAGTAAAGGCTATCAGGCTTCTCATTTAGATTTGATTATAACCCCAAACTCCTAAATAAGCTTTTTACGTAAAAAGTTAGGGTAATCAAAGCCAGGTTTGAGCCCCCGAGACAAGTATCGCATACCTTGCTGGTAGAAATATAAACCGTTTCAAGGTATCTGTTTCATTAACTTGGCAATTTGTTTAAATTGCCTTAAAGTTGTCTTTACCTTCATCCATCTAGAAATATGCTGTTAGGAAACAATTGGTAGTTTAGGCAAAGTTTTATGCACCAAGATTTTTACTGTCATATTATTTTAAATCTAAAACATTGGAAATCCCTCAAGTGGCCACACAATAGAGCAATGGTTAATGATGGTTATCTATAATATATGGAATTTTATACTTTCATTAAAAAGCATGTTTGTAGGACCAGCCCATGGCTCACTCGGGAGAGTGTGGTGCTGACAACACCAAGGCCACGGGTTCGGATCCCTATATAGGGATCTGAACCCGTGGCCTTGGTGTTGTCAGCACCACGCTCTCCCAAGTGAGCTAACCGGCCATCCCTATATAGGGATCTGAACCCGTGGCCTTGGTGTTGTCAGCACCACGCTCTCCCAAGTGAGCTAACCGGCCATCCCTATATAGGGATGGCCGGTTAGCTCACTGGCTGAGGGTGGTGCTGACAACCCCAAATCAAGGGTTAAGATCCCCTTACCGGTCATCTTTTTTTTTTTTTTTTAAAGTATGTTTGTGAAGGATTTGTAGCATGGGAAACATTAAGGCTATAATGTTAATTGAAAAAAGTCAATTACAAAATTGTATGGAAAATTATGCAATTATTTGAAAATGGCAGTTAAATAAATACATTTTCATTAAAAATATGCATGTATACACATAGGAAGAAACCTGGAGGAAATACTCCAGAATATTAAAGTGAGATCAGAAAGACACAGGTGCAAATCCAGAGCTGTCGTCTCTAGGTTTATGACCTGTTCTCGCTCTGATTTTTCTGTTTTTTAATTTATTTTGCTGAACAACAATAATACTAAAAAATTAAATCCTCATTCCTCAGAACATTGTCATCAAATCAAAGTGTCTATGATTTGGGGAAATTCGTGTCAGTCCTTCATTCATGCTCCCAGGCATTAAGTATGCACCTACGGTGTGTCCTGTGCAGGGGCTCTGGGAACTACAAAGAAACATGAGACTAGAAATCAATGCTCCAGTCTGGAAGCTGAGTGTCCCTTTGCCTGTTTTCTCCAGGAAGATGCAGCTATCTTGGGCCCCTCAAGAAGGGTCTGGGGAGCTGCAAGCAGGCCAGGATCAGGCCAAGCCACAGAGTGAGCTGGGGTTGCTGCCTTCCAGGGTTCTAGCAGCAGCTGAAGGGCTGCAGCAGCTGGGCTTGGGGAGAGAGACCGAGGACCAGCAGGGGAGGCAGAGGAACTCAGGAACTGCGGAGAGTCAGCCCTTGGAGAGCTGCCAGGTAACCCCCAGGAGACCTGAGCAGGAGGGTATGGATATGATTGGCCCACAGGGCAGAAAAAGGAGCCCCCTCTCCCCACACTTCCCATTCCAGTGCACTCTTATTTGCTCCCTTCCATGCCCTGGAGATGCCGAGCACCCAGTCTGTGTGGGTCACTGGGATATTCCCGGAGCCTGCACCACAATTAAGTCTTGTTTCCAGAGTGGCCTCACAGTATGTCAATAGTTGCTGGGGACGGGAGGAGATGGGGGTGCTGTATAAGATAAGAGACGAAGTGGGGGGTGCTGTATAAGATAGTATTGGGACATTCTGGATTTAACAAAGCAGAAACACCATTTCTGTATGCTAGGATATCCTAGAAGCTGTTTGTTAGCTGCTGAGCCTTGTGGCACCTTGCAAGACATGGTTAGAGTATGTTACCTTTTCCAAACTTATTTAACTACAATAACTTTATTTATTTTTAAGATTCAGGGCTTTTTTTCCCCTTTTTTTTGTCTTTTTTTCGTGACCGGCAACGGATCGCAACCCTCAGTGTCGCACCCGTACCGGACTGGGACCGGCAACGGGATCGCAAC